GCGGCACTCAAGATGACCACTGAATATACAGCTTTAACTTTCCACTAAAGGTCATATGCATATAAAACTAGATGTAATGCATCATGCAAGAAACAAGCCCCCCCCCCCCGAATATTGTCTTAAAACAGAGGCACAGAACAGCTGAGTTCGTAAGAGATCTCTGGAGAAGATCAGTCCATTCCCCCTGCTTGAGGCAGGGTTATCAGGAGCAGGTTGCCCAGGAGGACATCCTGTCCAAGGACAGAGACTACACCACCTCTCTAGGTAACCTGTTCCGGTGTTCAACCACACCCACAGTAGAAGTCTTTCTGTGTACTTCCAGAGCAAGTTTCCTGTGTTTCAACTTGTACCTATTGCCTCTTCTTCTGCCACCGGGCAGGCATCACTGAGAAGAGTCTAGCTCTGACTTCTTTATGACCTGCTATCAGGTATTTATAATTGGTAAGACCCCCATGAGTCTTCTCTTCTCCAGGCTAAACAATCCCAGGTCTTTCTGTGTACGTCCAGAGCAAGTTTCCTGTGTTTCAACTTGTACCTATTGCCTCTTCTTCTGCCACCGGGCAGGCATCACTGAGAAGAGTCTAGCTCTGACTTCTTTATGACCTGCTATCAGGTATTTATAATTGGTAAGACCCCCATGAGTCTTCTCTTCTCCAGGCTAAACAATCCCAGCTCCTGTACTGCCATATTTCCTCCTGAAACAAGCCGGGCTGTCCACAGATGAACAAAAATAAGTGCGTAAGTAACCTTCCAAGTTCCCAAGAATTATCTAGAAGGTTTAAATAATTATCTAGAAGGTTTAAATACTCGGCATAACACAAAAGGGGGATCTTAACATCCTTCAAGTGATCCTTTACCAAGGCATTCCCTAGAAATCTCATTGCTACATGCTTTGAAAACGAACAGCCAGGAGCTTCATAGCAGGATGAAGAACACCCATCTCTTTTTACAAGGAACACCCTTTACTTGCCCCACTTTCTTTTTGGGGTGGGAAGGTTTTTGGGGTATGGGTAAGGAAAGAGAGAGCTAAAATCTTGTTAGGCTTCACTAGCAACAATATGCCTATCTTAAAATACTACAGTTATAAGAATTATGAAAAATACTTTATTATGTTCTTTATACTTGTTCCTTCATTGGAAAGTAAGTTTTGCTAACAGTCCAGAGGGTATAATTTTAAACTGTAGTAAGATTACATTTAACATCTCACAAAGGAGCTGTTCAAGAGCAACTTGTTCCTTCACTGGAGAGTAAGTTTTGCTTACAGTCCAGAGGGTATAATTCTAAATTGTAGTAAGATTACATTTAACATCTCTGAGGGAGAAGATATATATAGATCCTGATTTTCCATAATGGAGAAGGTTTTATTTCTTACAGAAACAGGGACAAGAGTATACAGCTGCCACAGTTTGAAAAATATTAAACACTTTTCAATAAGGATGAATATTGCCCGCTATCATGGACCTTAGAAATTGCTACAGCCATTAACAACTTCACAGAAATTTCCTTTCACTTACTAGCCATTCTCTTTGGCTATTACTAGCCATTTCTCTGATTTTCATCAGGCTTGGATGAAAATCAGATGGCACTCAGGGGCAAGTAGCAAATCAGTATGATCAGATATGATTAGTATTTGCCTTATGCTATGTAAAATATTTCAGGTATCTGATAACATTTAAAGCGACACCATCAATCATTAGAAAAGTATATTCACAAGTATAAACATATCTTCCTTACTGGACATTGATAGAAGATCTCGTATTTATTTCGTCCCTCCACACTCTCCAGGGCCATGTATTGACTCAGGCCAGTATGAATGCAAAAAGTAAGAGGAAGGCATTGTTTCAGACCTAGCCTCTGTTGAAAACCTCCAGCCGCTGTGTCGATATCCAACAAGTCTTCAGAGCGGTAGTGGTTCGATAGTGCCATGCTTCCCATCAAACTTAACAGACAACAACAAAAAAAGGAAAGATAAACAGAAGGTACTACTCACAGTGCAAAGATAGAATCAATGCTCAGAAAAGATTCAAAGCTATTGGTGCTCTAGATGCATATTAGATTTAGATGAAATCCAAGTCTAATATCCAGGTGCTGAACCAGTTTATTAGTCCACAACATCAACCTCCACACAGAGAGGCTTGATGGCTCTGAGATAAACACTTCCTCGTATGCTTTGCACACCCCAAAGTGGCATTTTAAACTGTGTTGGTGATGCCCATCATGGCTGCAACTACTTCAAAGAAGCCGTTCACAGCTGACACAGCTTCCTATAGTAGCATAATGTAACAACAACCAGTGCTCTGTATCTCAGGTTCAAGTGTCTATCAAGTTCATGTGCCAGCTCATTTCAGTACTATCAAAGCACCCATGATTTTTCAATTAGGATACCAAGCTGCTGTAGTAGCAGTCACTGATCAAAACTACAGTGAGCAAGGCACTCTATATGCTTGGAAGAAAAGGTTGAGAAGTAAACAAGACAAACAACTACTGAGTCAGAGCGATTATAATCTCCATATAAAAACTAAGGCATGCAGACACAACTAAACAGACATAAAAGGAAAGAACGAGACAATATTCATCAGCATGACATGGCAAGACTATCAACTGTCTTTCGAAATTTTTCCTCTGGCTTTTTATAAGCATCACAGCAAAGGATGGGAATTTTATTTTTTCCTTTTGACAACAGTGGAATTGAAGACAGTAAAAGGAGCCTCTCTATACATCAGAAAAGGATATATACATTTGGAAAAAATAGTACTAATCTGAAATATGTAACAGATTCGAAATGGAGGTGAGCATCAGAAGCGACAGTTAACACTGAGATGAATGCTGGGCTAGGGTGAGAGCTAGGATGCAAATAAAAAAAACCACCTAGACTCAATGTAACAGAGGGGCAGACAATGGAAAAATGATAAAAAGAGGCAACACAATCAAAGTAATCAACAAGGGCACAGACTACAGCAGCACGCTTAGCAGTAAGAGGAGTACATAAACCTGCAATGTACACCGCCCCACCCATACTCCCATCTAATTTGCCTTTCACTGATGTGCTCAGGATGTAAACTCCTGCAGATGCTAAGCTTTCACTAGTGTTAGGAAAGCAGTGACATAGGCACAAGCTGCCAGACACGAGCATAATACAAGTTGGTCCCCTCCTCTTTTTTCTTACGTAGTCTTGCCTGGAATCAGCACATTCTACAGTTTAAAAAGCAATGTTAACATCCAGACACAGAAACCTGAAGCATCTAGCAATGACAACCAGTCCCAAACCTCCTCCGTTTCTGACCTAACATGCCAACAACTTGCTGCCTAGACTTCCACTGCCTGCACCTGATCTTTCCAGTAGTCATTTCCCACAAGAAAACAAGCCTGTACCTAACAGTAAGACCACACCTTCCACTCACAGTGTGTCAATCTTTCCTGCTCCTGCGTCCCACATGTCAGACCACACTAGTCCCCCAGTCAGTGCTCCCCCAACAGGGTTTGACAACCTATGTGTAAGGCTCAGGCCCTCGCTCTGAGAGCACAGCAAGGGACCACAGCCCACTGGCAGTTGCTCAAAGTGAAAGGCATGCCCAAATGCATGTCTGCTCCTGCCACAGGCACATCATCACAGTAGAGGCTTCGTAGGAGTGAAAGAGTCATGCGAAAAGCAAGAAGAACACAAGCTGCAGAGCTTCATTTGAAGTCTACAAAACTAGGTCACCTCCTCTCTAAAAAAAGTCTCTCCTGGAAAAGAAACAGAACTAGGAGTTATCCTTATGGTTGCATAAAACTGTTTCCCATATCCCTTCTGCACATACAACACCAGAACTGGAGGAAGCTGCAACTTCTTTCCTAGTGCAGGTTTTCTTAGAGCAACATGCACATTGCACCCTACAGACACTGCAACGATTTGCTGCAGCTTTCCTTCTTTTGCTAACGCTCGCTGCACTCCATCAAGTGCTGACCTACAAGCTTTTTCTACAGCTGGAAGATAGGAAAAACTGCAGTTGGTCATTTGCCTTCTAACCTTAATGTAAAACAAGTTTCTAATTGCTGAAACCGCATAAAATTGTAAAATCTTCTACTGAGAAAACTTTATTTGCAAAACTGACACTTTGATTCTACTTAAAATGACTATATGGTTTGAAACTTATTCCCTAACCATTTTAAAGAAAATGTTATTAAATAACAAAGCCAGCAGAGCGCAAGAGGCTAATTTATTTATGTAATACAAAGCAAAATTTCAGGAGAGCAATGTGCAGTGGTATGATTAGAAGTCTAAGAACTGGAAGTTTTGCTTATTAAAAAAAGGGTTCTTACTAGGAAAAAGGACTGAAGAACAAGATTAATCTGAGCAATTAGAAATCTGTGTTTTCAGTTAGTTCTGTGACTAGAAGACAGCCAATTCTAGAAGCATCACTTCAAGCAGTCACTCAGTTACAATACATACAAATGCTTCATTTATCCTGTTCAGCAGACATTTTACCTTTTTAATAAATAAAGTATCCATGAAATACAAAAGGAATTAATAACTTGATATGTAGTATTCACTCCTTACCCGGGAACAACTAGCTTCTGTCCATTGTGAATACGAAATGAACATCGATAGTCATCAGGGAGTTTGCAACCTATTTGTGCTTCCACAGCATCTAGATCTTCCTCCCGCACACTCTCTGCGTACAAAAAGAAAGAGAGTATTACGTGGCAGTTTTGGAGGGGGAATCAGTAACTGTTGCTCCTATGAAACTCTCAAATCTCATGCTGGTTCACTCCTCCACCCCCAAGTGCCCAGTATGCTGTGCCTGACAAAGGGAAATATTTAAAGGAGAGGTCTTAACACAAAGTTTTATTTCACATCATTTCATCAGAGCTGCATGACTAGAAATAAGACAAAAACTAGCTACATTCTAGACAAAACAGCATGTTTTCAACTGCCAAAGAGAACTCTAAGTAACCACAGCAACCTTAGCATTATGGATTTTTTTTTTGTATTATGACAAAAGAAATATAGATTTCAATTATTTTGTCACTTATAATTCAGAGAAAGTGAATTAAGAGGCATACAAAAGTAAGATAAATTCAGTTCCGTTTTGGGATACAGCTGTCTTTACTTCAGAATCACTAAAAATCAAAGAATCACGAAGTATTTCAAATACAATGCATGGAATTTGTAAGTGCCTTGATCAAACAAACACGGACTCAAAACAAAATTTACTGACTTTATTGTAAGCTAGGTGGCACAGAATGAATACCTCATAAACGTGAAAGGAAGCTGATCACATTAACTGATTACTTAGTACAGCACAAATCTCCATCCAACAAAATCTCAACAGGCCTGACTTAAATAGGAAGTATTTTTGAAGTGAAATCAACCTTCTTCCCACAACACTCATCAGCTGACTGAGTCCCAGTTAAGCCTTTCAGGCAATACTGATTTTACTCTTTTTTCTTTTCTTTCAGTTTCCAGCCCAATCAGTAGTAATGCAATGTTGGCTGCAGCTACCATTCACTTGGAATATGAAGCAATAAATGGGTTCTAACAGGGGGATTTTCATACCATCAAGAGAAGATGTGGGGAGTAACTACCCTTACACCTCCACACACACACTTCAGGGGGTTTCTGCACCCTCACTTCTAACAAAGATGAACTGGGAGGCCCGTGTGATTTGTTCAAATCAAGCATTTTTGGGTGTTTGTTCTGGGGTTTTTTTACCCTTTTTCATATTCATTATCAGTTTAATTTATATGGCATAATTTAACAGTTCATTGAAACAAGATGCTGTACAAATGGTATTAAAAAAGTGTAAGGTATGGAACAGCTCCTGCTAAAACCTGCCATCACTATACAACTGTGGAAATTGATAACTTTACACCAAGACAAAAATAAATTTAGACAAGGAGAGGCTTCATTGCACCAAGTTCCTCTGGGGGATTTTGAAAGCAGAACTGTGGTAAAATCTGTTCATTTCACCACCTCCACCACAGATATCTTCTTAACAAAATATTTGACTGACAATTCAGTTGTTCTGGTTACCTTAGTGAAGTCTGTTTTTGATAAAGCAGTATGGAAGATACATAAATTAAGGCATGGATATCTACACCACATACTAGAGCACCACATACTACAGCGTGTGTTACACAACAGTTCAGGCTACATATAACCCTTTTGGCTTTTTCCTAAAAAGGCATTCCTTCACTAATACTCAGAAGTAACATTTTTCTTTTTTTTAAACAATAATTATTAAGTTCAAACCATGTTTTGTTATTCACAAATACTTAACAAAACTTAAGAATCTGTCACTATCCAGCAAGTCAAGAAACATGCAAGATTTACCTAGGAAAGAGATCACTGTCTATAGATTTCTCTTCATTTCACAGATCATGTTAAATCAAACATCTTGGTCTAATAGTCAGTTTCATACAGAAGACTGAAGTAGAGTGGAAAATGTAAGTTATGTTGTCCCTATGCCAGAAAAGCCAAATTTCCAGTATGCCTTGCTGTGTAAGGTTTATGAACCAGAACACTAGAATTACTCCAAATATCAAAACACAAACTTAAATTGAAAAAAGAATCTCGGGGGGGAAGGGTGTAAAAAAAAAAAAATTATTATGAAGCCACTAATTTACCTTCATTAGAGGAACGTACAGAAGAAAAAAAAAACAACTTTTTGTTTGGCTTTAGTTTAAAATGCCTGCTTTCATGTTAAATGTTTTAATGAGGTCTTAAGAAAACCTCACAAATAAAATCACACTAACAGGTCCCATGTCCTTGAAGTAACATGACTGTTAAACTGAATAATAATAAACAACAAAAAAATTAAAATCAGTCATAGCAGCTAAAGACAAAAGCAGTAAAAGTGTATTCATCTCCTGATTATCCAGGGTAAAGATGATGGACTGGTCACTAGAAAAGAACCAAACTTGATTTCTTTTGCGAAAACTCCAGAGAACCTATGGTTCACCAGTAAATGGGCAAGGATGACACACGTGCTCTAATTTACTCGTTTACTAGCAGAGACAGGAAAGCACGTCTACTTGGCTTTCAGGGCTCCCGTAATTGCGGCACACACCTAGGACGAAAGCAGTGTGAAACTCCGTAACAGACAAGGTCGCACCAGCCGGCCTACCAGAGAGAGCAGGTTTTGCACCGTACCTTTCAAAGAACCAATCATCCGAGGACACCGCTGCCCCAAGTATTTCTCTAGGTCATCCCAGGCTTTTTTCAGTGTAGCATAGCATCGGATGTATCTCCCTAGGTCAGAGTAGGTACTGATGAAGATGGCTTTCCAGCTCTGATTTCGTTGACTTTTTTCCTCTCTAAGTGACAAGAAGTGCATATTTGTTATCTGGCAGAAACAATATGCATAATACTAAGGCAGGAACACTTGGAGCCACATGAAGCCACACATAATTAATTACAGCATCTATTCAACAGCAACTTGGAACAGAATTAGGAAACACAGTATCGGGAAAATTTCAAAACAGCATTCGTTTAAATAAAGTGCTCTCTATTACTAAATCTTAAAACTGGTGAATAGCTAATTCACATCACATTTCACACATACACAGAGAAGACCTTAAAAAAAAAAAAATCACATTTTTTGATCTACTGCATTAGTCACAAACTCCGTTATTTACTCAATAAAGATCAAGGACTAAACTAGAGAGTTAAATGAGAACTCTGTGGCACTGAGCTGGAAAGTCAGTTTCTTAAGGAATTTCTGCATATTCAGTACTCCTCACATGCACATCACCTGGCTATGGGAAGACAAGCTGCCGAAAAAGTGCTGACTAACATCTGACAAAGGATGCTTGGCTCCAAATTTTAGCAGCCCTTACATCTCTGTTAGTATGAATTCCAACTCCTCAAACTCCAATCAGCACATTGAATACTGATTAATAGGGGGTTTTACTCCCAAATAAAATGTAACAATTGAGAATTCTTCACGTCATCTTTAAGATCTCCTTAGCTCTAAAAAGGAGAGAGGAACCTTACTTCTTGAAGAAGAGTTGAGGGGAGAATAAAGTACATTAAGTTTAATTTGGGCAGTTAAATAAACTTAGGACAAATCAAAGAGCTAACAGAAATGTCCTGGTCCCAGGCAGTGATGAGCTGCTCTCCTAGGGCAGTCTGTAAGATTTTGTGTCATTCCTTAATACATCAATCATTGGAAGGTGGGGTGTGTGTGTCTGTGTCACCTCGTGGCAGTGAGGTCTTTGTGTCGGGGGATTAGCAGACTGCAACTTCTGTCAGGCAGGTTGTTCTGGGAAGGAGCAGTTGAAGGTTTTCTTTCCTGCTGCTCTCACTCCTGGGCTCAGGGAGGGGGTTTCTCTCCTCGGGGCTTTGGATTTATTTTTCTGCCTTGCCTGGAACCTGACTGTCCACCCACGGGTGGTGAGATCCTGTATAATTTGTGCTATTTCTCTGTTCTTTTAATTGCTTATTAGCAACAGTATTGTTAGTAACTCCCCAAGTTTCATTTATATAATCAAATAGTTCGTATCTCAACTTTTTATGAGCCCCCCTTGCTTTCCTCCGACCCTTCCTCACTGGCAGTGGGGGGGTGGAGTGGTAAAGCTGCATTGGCTGACAGGGCTAAACCACGACAAGAAAAAAGACCTCAAAGTGAATTATGTCTCAGCATGTGAGAAAAGTTTCAGTGTATTTTCACCCTCCAAATCTTATTTGTAGAAATTACCTACAGCCTTCATAACTCAGTTGTTCTTGATGATGTAGAAGCCAGCATGTGAGAAACCAACCCCAGAACCAGTTCTCCTTAGCAAAGCCCTATAACCCCCTCACATTCCCCCTATACACACACACACCAAGTTCCTCTTCTAAAGCATCAGCTAGACAGTTCGAACTTCTCATTTCCTTACCTTCTTCCCCTGAGCCCCCCCCCAGATTTTCCTTTCTAGTCTGGATTCTATTAAGAGTATCATTTAGGATTTTTATGCAGACAATCTCAAGGCGAAGTTGTTTACAAGTTGTGCTGTATGTCCATAAGCTGTATATAACGAGACTATGCACAGTATGTTTCTCTTTATGGATTCAACTTTGTTCGCTGTTAATTTTTAATACAGTCCATATGATATAATACAGATTATAACTACTACTTTGGAAATGTCTTCCTAAATTACCTCCTCCACCCACTTATGCATATACATTAACTCCTCATCACTAGCTGTTCTGCCATCTTAGGCTTGTTTATGTAATACAAAGTGCACCATGAATAATGGAAAATATATATGGAACTGATCACTGAAGTCACAAGGACTTAACACTCCTCACAACTTACAATCTAAAAAGAAAGATATTGTCTAGATACAAAGAGGGGGCAAGCAGTAACAAAACTAATTCACTTGCTAATTCATTTCAGTCAACTCCAGGAGCTTTCTCAGCTATTGAGGGAAAACATGCTTTTTTAGCAAAGATGCGGACTGATGCCTTTACAGTTAGCTCCCACTTAACAGACATCCTGACGTCAATGCGCGCAAACAGAACAGCAAGTGAGCTTTTTAAAAACACACACCCCCTCAAGAAAACTTTTTACACAGCCCTGTGTGACTTCCCTGGGAAAATGACAGGGAAAATCCTTCTGGAAAGCATTTCCAAACACATGAAAGACAGGAAGGTTATCAAGAACAGTCAGCATAGAGTTACAAAGGGGAAATAATGCTTGACCAACCCGACAGCCTTCTACAATGAGGAAGATTCGCTTGATGGACAAGGGGAGAAGAGCAGATAATGTTTACCTCAAATTTAGTGAAGCTTTTGACACTGTCTCTTTGTTAATATCATCACAGAGAAGCTGACAAAGCATGGGTTTGATAAGTAGATAGTGAGGTGGACTGAAAACCGGCTGAACAATCAGGCTCAAAGGGTGATCAGTTGGAGGCACATCACTTGAGGTGTACCCCAGGTTTCAATAATGGGGCCAATACTATCATTAATGCCCTGGGTGATGGGACAGTAGAAGCTCAGCAAGTTTGCAGATGACACAAAACTGTGGGACGTGGTAAATACAGCCACATGGTTGTGCAGCCATTGAGAGAGAAGGCAGAGAAGAATATCCTGTTCAACAAGGGGAAATACAAAGTCCTGCACCTAGAGAGGAATAACCCCAGACACCAGTACATGCTGGGGCTGTACAGGTGCAAAGCTGCTTTGCTGGGAAGAACCTGGGAGTCTTGGCAGACACCAAGCTGACCATGAGCCAGCAATGCACCCTTGCAGCTGATAGGAACACCAGTTCGTGTCTTTACAGAAGACACTTGTGCACACCCAGGCTCAAGACAAGGGACAAAAGAAGCCTGTATGAACTCAGACTGAAGAGAAGAAGGAATATCGAAACAACATTATCCCTTGAATGTGTTAAACCACCTGAGTATCTCAAATGTCTCAGGCAGATGGGGCAGTGTGTACACTCAGAGCACCTCAGCCAACGGGGAAATGAGGAGGGTCTCTTGCAGTTGGAGAAGTAGGATAAAAGGGGGCTGCGTCCCTCTGTAGGTTGAGAGACCCCCCAGGAATATGTCCTGTGGACTCTCCCTTTATTCCAATAAAGTTTTATTGTTATTGTTTTACAGGACTCCTCTGTCTCCCTGGTGAACACTGACTCCTGGGAGCTTGATTTTCTGTACAAATGGGGGCTCGTCCGGGATCCTTCCACCTTCCAGGGACGGTGGGTGACGGACAGGGCTGACGGTGCTCCTCACCCATATTTGGGTGATCAGCTCCCTTTCAATGTCCGCCGGTCCTGGACGACTGATTGGGTACCCGTGACTGTTCAGAGACAGACGAGTAACGGACCAGGGGGGTCCATGAGGGGTGACCAGAGGGAGAATGGTAAGTAAACAGGCAGTGGGCCTGAAAACAAAGGGGAAGTCCATCTTTCACCATTCAGTGTCACTTGGCAAGGCCAGAATCTGACCTGGGAAAAATCTGTTCTTGACCTTAGGGGAAGAAATTGCCAAAACTTTAATCTGACCAACTGCTAGGTCTGTGGAAGTCCAGGAAATTCTGAAAATTGGCCATGGGTAGCCCAGCCTGTCCAGCCTAAATGGTGGGTTAGTAACTCAAGTTCAGTCCATAACGGAACTGGCTTTTGGACTGAGGAAGGAAGCCCATGACAACTCTGCTTTCCAGGGAAAGGTATTTATTGCCTAAATAGAACCAGTGGGGAGGGGTGTCTGTAGGAGAAAGTACCAGTGAATGGACACTGTCTCCTGGATATGATTGTGTCCATCAAGGCTGTGCATCACTCAGTTTTTCCAAGCATCAAGGGAAAAGGAATCAGACCCACGTTCAGCTTCCTAATAACAGTTGGGTAAAATGCTCACATGCCAACTTTAAAGGCTCTGGTTGTGACAAGGTAGCTTTGCATTGGAAGTTCTGGTCTGATGTCCTGCTTTGTCAGCAGGTTAATGCTACAAATGAAAAATGTGTAGCACGGGTATTTTGTTGGACATGGCAGTATTATAATGGGACTAGAACTTACTTCCAAGAATTCTGGTCTAGTACCAACGAAACAACATGGAGAGAAACAAATTAGGGATGTAATTGTACATGTCGATCGGAGGCAGGGGCATGGAGATGTATTTATTGTATTAAAGGCACCATATTCCTCGATGTGATCATTGTGGGAAGACCTGTAGGGCTTGGGAATACTTTATAGTATGAAGAACCAAAGGATGAGAAAATTTGGAATGACCATT